GCTCCAGGCCAGCCGACAGGCCGACGCGAGGGCTGCAGAGACAATGACTCAAAGTTCAGCTCGTCGGCGTGGTGACGCTGAACGCCACACCACAGCGAGGGTTGCGGAGGCGCCGGAACAGGCGGCTGCTCGCCTGCAGCTCCAGGCCGGCCGACAGGCCGACGCGAGGGCTGCGGAGGCACTGGATGTTGCTGAGACCCGTCGGAGGGATCAGATGGCCCGCCAGAGGGCCGCGCGTCTCGCCGAGTCGTTCGAAGCTCGCACCGTGCGTCTCCACACGGATAACGTGCGCCACCTTCGCTCGCGTGCCGTCGACTCTAATGCTCCCCAACCCGCGCCGAGGGGTAGAGCCCGCGCCGACCCTGTCGAACCCCAGGGACCGTACGAGTTGTTCGAGGATGCTATGAAACGCTTGCACTGGTTTGTGTGTGACCAGTGTGGCAGGCGATCGCTCGAATTCACTCCTCGGCGGAGTTGTGGACGAATGTGCAAGAAATTTACCGCCGAGAACATGATGGACCCTGGTGAAGTGCCCGACGCACTTCGTGCGCTCACATTCGTCGAGCAACAGCTCATCGCGCGGGTCCATCCTGTCGTTTGCGTCTACAAGATTCGCGGACACCAGATGGGCTACAGCGGCAACGTCATCTCCTTCCCGCAGAATGTCAACGAGTTGGCTCGCTCCCTGCCTCACCGCGTACAGGTATCTCTCCTTTTTCTGTTATAACCTTACTACAGGGAACTCTTAAAAATTTGGGCGCAAATTTAGGACACCTTTTTAGTTACGTTTGTTAACAATCAGTGTCTTTCTTTGGCGAAAATGGGGAAAATCTCATCTTACGACAGAAACCGCGTCGTTATTACACCACCTTCGTCAAGGAACGACGTTGACTGTGTACAAGTTATACGCTGCTAACATAGTTAACTACAAACCGGCGAAAATTTTTCACAAATGTAGAGCACTCGAACACTGCTATCGATTTTCGTCATTTCACGATAATTCCTAGGAATACTTCATAACTGAAATTAACCAGTATTATTCATTTATATCGGTTTCGTGGTGGTATAAAATCAGACGGTTTGGAAAATCACGATTAACTGGTGTCTGCGCCCTCGGTCTGCTCACTCGTTAAAATTGATGTCTTTTTTAAAACTTGTCGGATTTCGCCTGAGATTTTAAGGCACCTGTCCTAAAATTGAGGAAAAATCACACATTTTTTGAGGAAACTTCCTCTAAATCTGAGAAGCTTTCCTTAAACCAAGGAATTTCCTCAAAGTTTTCTCCTTTCCCTCTAAAAGTGAGACATTATTTTTACCGGGTACAGACACACTGATTAGCCAGTCTCCTGACCACACTTGGATTTCGAAGGTTGCTTTATACGTACTTGGCCTTCTTATTTGCCTCCTTGAGTCGTGTCCTTTTAATAAATCTACCCTGTCACGTTTAGTTTTGTATGGTGTCACCGTGTTAATGTTTAGCTGAAAGCTGTGTAAATCATCAGGTTTTTCCGTTCAAATCAAATCAAATTTTTTAAAATTTTATCCGAATCGAGTCCATAATAAAATATCCGAATTGAATCTTCTGAAATTCTAGCCCAAATCGAATCTTCTGGACCACTTACA